GGAAATGGCGGTTTGGGACGTGGCAGGTAATTGCGCACGGAGGGGTTCGGCGACAAGCCCCACTGAAGGATGTTGCATCCCTGAAGTGGCCAAAGTGCCGGTTTCCAAAGAGAGTGTCAACCTGGTGCAGCTGAAGAGGGACCCTGGAAACACCAGTCGGGCCCTTCGACACCTGTGAAGCTTTTCTGCTGTTAATTCATCCCCTGGCTGTAAAACTTACTGCTGGAAAAACTGTGCAGGATCAGGGTGGGATTTGCATTCTGGAGAATATGGGAGCACGTGGGGCTGCTCGAGGTGCCCTCAGATGCTGGCAGCGCGGGTAACGTTCCGTCCTGGCAGCGACTTCTGCCTGCCACCTTGGTGCTGCGCCGTGCGAACTTCTACGCTGAGATAATTAGTAGCCCGTGTTGCTCTTGGGGAATTAAAGTCGTGTGAGGTAGAGGGCTCTAATGGAAGTTCCCACTGTTCCCATGCTGGCATTCAAGCAGCGAGAGAGATGAAAAATTACGAAGCTGAAAAAAAAAAAACCTGCTCGGAAAGCTGGAATCGTGAGCAGGGGCTCACATGCTTCAGCACAACTGGAGTACAGCGTAGAAATAGAGCGAATGCTTAACAGTGAGAGCAGGTGCTTCTGGCACTGTCCCTTGCGCTTGGATTCCCAATCGCTGCTCGTTTTTAGAACCAAAACTGGATTTCCTTGGTAAGAGAGCGTGCAGATCAAGAAGGGGTTAACTGGAAGGTCCAGCTTGGGGTGGCTGCTCTGCCAAGTCGTGGCTGACAGTCATCAGATGGCTCCGTCTCTGCCTGAAGGTCCCGTCTGTCACGTCCTGGCCCCCCTTAATAAAGTTATTTCAGGCGCTTGAAGCTCTGGGGAATCTGGTGAAGCTCAGTCCCTGTAACTGAGGGAAAATTGTGTCCAGTGCTGTGGATTCTTGCACCTGGGAGGACAGCTTACGTGGCAATCGCTGTTGGCTTTGGAGGACAGCTAGGTAGGAAGCCCTTTTCTCTGTGAAATGCCAACAGGATTTCCTTAGGGTTTGGGGCTGAGAAGGCTTTAGCTCATTTGCTGGAAGAATTTGTAGATCTGGGGAAGATGCTGAAGGAGGGAGGCTGAGAAGTGTTCCCTAAACGTGAGACAGACCAACGTGGATGGAGCAGCTCACTGCCGCGGCACAGAGGAGGAGTGACCAGAAGCCACTGTATGGGGAAAAAAATAATTGGTGTGTTTTGGAAGGTGCTGGACTGTCTGTGCTTGTAAAATGTCCTCATCCAGCGAGGACAGGGGTAGAGCCTGGGGGGAGCAGGGATCTCCTGGGGGGGGACAGCAGCGGGAGCCCTCTGGTGACTTCCCAGAGCTTGCCGGAGGGATTGACCTATGCCGGAGCTGAGCGGGGCCGACAACCACTTGGGGTTTCTCAGTTTCTCCTGCTTGCAGTGACTTGAGAACATTTTAAACACTTGGGTTTTTTTACTGCTTATCAGAGCAGTTGTTCTGACTACAAATTGTGTAGCTGACTCTTTAAAGGGAAAGCAGCGACTGAACTGATTCATCTGGATGTGGATGCTTTAGGAACAGAAGAACTCGGGGAATTTGGGCGATACGAGCGCACCTCTCGGAGTCAGTGTCAGATCTTCACCACCTACATGCAGTTTCCTATGCAAGGCAGTGAGCTTGAACAGGGATTTTCATAGGTCTATATTTTGCATCTGTCTAAGTACTGAAGTGCTTCTCGAAGGCCTTGGGGACCAAATCTGTCGCAGGTGTTGCTCTAGGGTGAAGCACAGCAGATGTGTAACAGCACACGGACGGATTGCTGCCATGCATGTGTTTCCCGGCCTCCTCACCCTGGGGTATAATTAGGCACCGCAGAGGAAGCAAGGCAGCCGCGCGTGTCCTCCTCCGAGCCCGGGTGCGATTGGAGGTGCTGGCTGCAAGACACCGATTTGCTGCATGTCGCTGGCAGCGGTGACAC